TTTTTAATTATTTTTTTATTTATTTTTTATTTATAAAAAAAAAAAAAAACTTAAAAACGGAATTTGAAAATCCGTTCTTAATTTTATTTTAATTTTTTGTTTTTTAAAAAATAACGGGCGATTACACTATAATTGACCGAGATTGTAGTAATTCGACTTCAATTGTACTAATTCGAATTCGATTACACTATAATTGACCGAGATTGTACTAATTCGACTACAAGTGGACTAATTCAAGGCCGATTACACTATAATTGACCGAGATTGTACTAATTTGACTTCATTTGGACTAATTCGAGGTCGATTTTACTATAATTGACCGAGATTGTACTATTTTGACTTCAATTGGACTATAATTGACTGTGATTGTACTAATTTGACTTCAATTGGACTAATTTGACTTCAATAGGACTAATTTGACTTCATTTGGACTAATTCGAGGTCGATTACACTATAATTGACCGAGATTGTACTAATTTGACTTAAATTGGACTAATTTGACTTCAATTGGACTATGATTGACCCAGATTGTACTAATTTGACTTCAATTGGACTAATTTGACTTTATTTGGACGATAATTGACCGAGATTGTACTAATTCAAGGTCGATTACACTATAATGACCGAGATTTTACTAATTCGACTTCAATTGGACTAATTCGAGTTCGATTACACTATAATTGACCGAGATTGTACTAATTCGACTTCAATTGTACTAATTCGAGATCGATTACACTATAATTGACCGAGATTGTACTAATTCGACTTCAATAGTACTAATTCGAGAACGATTACACTATAATTGACCGAAATTGTACTAATTGGACTTCAATTGGACTAATTCGAGTTCGATTACACTATAATTGACCGAGATTGTACTAATTCTACATCAATTGGACTAATTTGACTTCAATTGGACTAATTCGAGTTCGATTACACTATAATTGACCGAGATTAAATTGACCGAGATTGTTCAATCTCGGTCAATTATAGTGTAATCGAACTCGAATTAGTCCAATTGAAGTCCAATTAGTACAATTTCGGTCAATTATAGTGTAATCGAACTCGAATTAGTCCAATTTAAGTGGAATTAGTACAATCTCGGTCAATTATAGTATAATCGTTCTCGAATTAGTACAATCTCGGTCAATTATAGTGTAATCGAACTCGAATTAGTGCAATTGAAGTCAACTTAGTACAATCTCGGTCAATTATAGTCCAATTGAAGTCAATTTACTCCAATTGAAGTAGAATTAGTACAATCTCGGTCAATTATAGTGTAATCGAACACGAATGAGTCCAATTGAAGTCGAATTAGTACAATCTCAGTCAATTATAGTGTAATCGAACTCGAATTAGTCCAATTGAAGCCGAATTAGTACAATCTCAGTCAATTATAGTGTAATCAAACTCGAATTAGTCCAATTGAAACCGAATTAGTACAATCTCGGTCAATTATAGTGTAATCGAACTCGAATTAGTCCAATTGAAGCCGAATTAGTACAATCTCAGTCAATTATAGTGTAATCGAACTCGAATTAGTCCAATTGAAGTCAAATTAGTACAATCTCGGTCAATTATAGTCCAATTGAAGTCAATTTAGTCCAATTGAAGTCAATTTAGTCCAATTGAAGTAGAATTAGTACAATCTCGGTCAATTATAGTGTAATCAAACTCGAATTAGTCCAGTTGAAGCCGAATTAGTACAATCTCGGCCAATTATAGTGTAATCGAATTCGAATTAGTCCAATTGAATTTGAATTAGTACAATCTCGGTCAATTATAGTGTAATCGTTCTCGAACTAGTACAATTGAAGTCAAATTAGTACAATCTTGGTCAATTATAGTGTAATCGAACTCGAATTAGTCCAATTGAAGACGAATTAGTACAATTGAAGTCGAATTAGTATAATCTCGGTCAATTATAGTGTAATCGACCTCGAATTAGTCCAATTGAAGGGGAAGTAGTACAATTGAAGTCAAATTAGTACAATCTCGGTTAATTATAGTGTAATTGAACTCGAATTAGTCCAATTGAAGTTGAATTATTACAATCTCGGTCAATTATAGTGTAATCGAACTCGAATTAGTCCAATTGAAGCTGAATTAGTACAATCTCGGCCAATTATAGTGTAATCGAACTCTCCAATTGAAGTGGAATTAGTACAATCTCGGTCAATTATAATGTAATCGAACACGAATTAGTCCAATTGAAGTAGAATTAGTACAATCTCGGTTAATTATAGTGTAATCGAACACGAATTAGTCCAATTGAAGCCGAATTAGTACAATCTCGGTCAATTATAGTGTAATCGAACTCGAATTAGTCCAATTGAAGCCGAATTAGTACAATCTCGGCCAATTATAGTGTAATCGAACTCGACTTAGTCCAATCGAGTTGGAATTAGTACAATCTCGGTCAATCATAGTGTAATCGTTCTCGAATTAGTACAATTGAAGTCGAACTAGTACAATCTTGGTCAATTATAGTGTAATCGAACTCGAATTAGTCCAATTGAAGACGAATTAGTACAATTGAAGTCGAATTAGTATATTCTCGGTCAATTATAGTGTAATCGACCTCGAATTAGTCCAATTGAAGGGGAAGTAGTACAATTGAAGTCGAATTAGAACAATCTCGGTTAATTATAGTGTAATTGAACTCGAATTAGTCCAATTGAAGTCGAATTATTACAATCTCGGTCAATTATAGTGTAATCGAACTCGAATTAGTCCAATTTAAGTGGAATTAGTACAATCTCGGTCAATTATAGTGTAATCGTTCTCGAATTAGTACAATCTCGGTCAATTATAGTCCAATTGAAGTCAATTTAGTCCAATTGAAGTAGAATTAGTACAATCTCGGTCAATTATAGTGTAATCGAACACGAATTAGTCCAATTGAGTCGAGATAGTACAATCTCGGTCAATTATAGTGTAATCGAACTCGAATTAGTCCAATTGAAGCCGAATTAGTACAATCTCGGTCAATTATAGTGTAATCAAACTCGAATTAGTCCAATTGAAGCCGAATTAGTACAATCTCGGCCAATTATAGTGTAATCGAACTCGAATTAGTCCAATTGAAGTAGAATTAGTACAATCTCGGCCAATTATAGTGTAATCGAACACGAATTAGTCCAATTGAAGTCGAATTAGTACAATCTCGGTCAATTATAGTGTAATCGAACTCGAATTAGTCCAATTGAAGTCAAATTAATCCAATTGAAGTCAAATTAGTACAATCTCGGTCAAATATAGTATAATCGAAGTTGAATTAGTACAATCTCGGTCAATTATATTGTAATCGAATTCGAAATAGTCCAATTGAAGTCGAATTAGTACAATCTCGGTCAATTATAGTGTATTCGACCTCGAATTAGTCCAATTGAAGTCAAATTAGTACAATCTCGATCGATTATAGTCCAATTGAAGTCAATTTAGTCCAATTGAAGTAGAATTAGTACAATCTCGGTCAATTATAGTGTAATCGAACACGAATTAGTCCAATTGAAGTCGAATTAGTACAATCTCGGTCAATTATAGTGTAATCGAACTCGAATTAGTCCAATTGAAGCCGAATTAGTACAATCTCGGCCAATTATAGTGTAATCGAACTCGAATTAGTCCAATTGAAGTCGAATTAGTCCAATTGAAGTCAAATTAGTACAATCTCGGTCAATCTCGAATTAGTCCAACTGAAGTCAAATTAATCCAATTGAAGTCAAATTAGTACAATCTCGGTCAAGTATAGTATAATCGAAGTTGAATTAGTACAATCTCGGTCAATTATATCGAAATAGTCTAATTGAAGTCGAATTAGTACAATCTCGGTCAATTATAATGTAATTGACCTCGAATTAGTCCAATTGAAGTCAAATTAGTACAATTGAAGTCAAATTAGTACAATCTCGGTCAATTATAGTGTAATCGACCTCG